ACACACACACACACACACACACACACACACACACACACACACACACAGCAGGTCAGTGAACAGGTTCAGCGCGGACCACTCAGCTGTTCTGCTGCCTCCTTGTCTCTACCTGGGCTGATCTCACTGCAGGAAGTGATGTCACTGAAGGAAGTGATGTCACTGCTGGACTTGATGTTGTTGTTGAGGGGCTGGTTGGAGGTGGGGGTGTAAGGTGAGGGTGGAGTCTGAAGGAGGGGCGGAGCCGCAGCACCTGAGCTGGTCCCGCTGATGTGACTCATCTGAAAGAGGTTGATTCATTTATTAAACTCTTTTAGCTCCACTTTCCAACACATCAACCCATCAGAAGTTCTGGAGCAGGACGTCCTCATGTGGACCTGAAGGAGGTCTGAACCAGGTAACAAAAACAGGAGACCCCCACCTGACTCTCCTGTGAGCTGTGTCTGGATGAGATCCAAGAAGCAGCTTTGAGTCGGCCGAGCTCCAGCAGGACTGGACCGCGAGCACACTGCGGGACGGACAGAAACCCAGACCCGTCAGACAAACAGGTTGGACGGACCGGTCCATCAGGTCTGATCCGATGGGACTCACCTTCAGGATGGCGGCCACGGCTTCCTGGGAGGCGTGTTTCGCGTCTTCTCCATTCACCGACAGGATCTGGTCTCCCTGCATCAGCCGACCGTCCAGCTCAGCGGCGCCCCCTCTGACCACCTCAGAGATGAACACGCCGCTGCCGGTCCTGCCCCACAGGAGAAGAACCTTAGAACCAGCCAACGTTACGTTCATGGGTCTCTGCTGGGCCTCTGAAGGCGGACCTCTTCCCTACGATGCTGAAGCCCAGCCCCCTGCCGCTCTTCTTCTGCAGGTCCACCTTAAACACGTCCAGGTTCTCCTCATCTCTGTACTGGGCCTCGTCCCTCAGCACAGTCAGACAGACCTTCGCCGGCGTCTGACGCAGCGCAGCAATCGCCTCCTCGTGGGACGCGCCGCGGAGGTCCACGCTGTTCACCTGGAGACACAAACAGGAAGTGGGTCCGCTGACAGGAAGTGATTATCTTTGAATTAAGGTTCAAGTTTAAGGATCTTTATTTTCGTGTTGTAAAAAAAAAAAAATCTCAAGTGAGCTGAAAAACAAACATCAGGACCCACTTCCTGCTGCAGCTGAGGAAATCAACAGAACCACCCAACAGTAGAACCGTCAGAACCACAGTAGAACTGAGAAACTCTAGAAGAGGTACCTCCAGGATCTGGTCTCCGGCCCACAGCCGACCGTCGCGAGCTGCAGCTCCTTCTTCATAAACTTCATGGATCACGATGGCGTCCTGAGGCAGAGACGACACGATTCTGTCAGAACCGGGCCGAACATCAGCAACGAAGAGCAGAATCAAACAACTGATCTCAGAGGTACCAGCTGGGTGTCTCTTCCTCCCACAATGCTGAGTCCCAGTCCGGATCGGCCCTTACAGATCTCCAGAACCGTCTCCTGCCCGGGAACCACGGCGCAGCAGGACGGATCTGAGGAAGAGGAGGAAGCTGCTGATGAAGAGTCCACATAGTCTGAAGCTCAGACAATTTCAGGTTTAATCTGAACAGCCGACCCAGAAGGTGCTCGGCCCGAGTCACAGTTTTATAAAAAGCCTCACAGATTCAGTGGACGTGGAAGACTTTTATTTTGTAAAATTCACTTCATAATGAATTAAAACATTTTATTTTAATTTTGTGTTTGCCTGTTAGCATCGTTAGCCACAGCTAATCCAAGAGAGCAAACTCCAAAAAAAGGCTAGAACACCGTCAGTCTTACAGAGAGCTGAACTTTGGTGTGGTAGTAGCTGAGAGTCATCCCCGTCACATTCTCTGAGGGCGAACAGACACGACCTTCAAGGTTTATTATAAAAAACATTTAAACCAAAACTAATAAAAATAAACTGCAGGTTTTATATCCATGTTGGCCACTAGGTGGCAGTAACTCCCCGGTCTGTAAATAACATGGAAACTTTAACATTTCCTGTAGGGACTTTCAAAATAAAACCTCAGCCTCGTTCCTTCTTATCAGGTCCAGTTGGACCAGTAGTCTGTTCTGGAACAGATGTTGACCTGTCTGGAGATCAGACCGTACCTCTGTTAGCCGTGTGGACGTCAGGACTGATCAGAGGAGACGCTGCCACGGGCTTGGTGAAGTTGGACCTGCAGGACTGGACACAGAACCAGAACCAGCTCAGATCAAATGTACAAGTATTTTAGGCAGCTCCAACAGAACCGGGGGAGGACAAATGAAGGTTTTTCGTGAAACAATCCAGAACTTGCTAGTGAAGATTCTCGGTCATCCAGGACAAGACGAATTCAAAAAACGTTCAATACAAAAACAACTGGACTTTATTTGTAACAGAAGACGTTTCGCTCCTCATCCGAGGAGCTTTCTCAATTCAAAGAGCAGAGAGTGAGGGGTTCAGGTTCTAAGGCTGAGTGAGATAAGACACACACACATCTGTACATTTGACAAGTCACACCTTAACAGTTCGGGTTTCTTAAGGTCTTTGTTCCTCTAATTCACAGACGAGGCCCCTCTGTTCCCATCAGGTGTGAAAACCGGCGGGGAATCTGTTTTAAAGTTGCATTATAGGTTTTTGAAAGTGGGAATCTGAGGCCTCCTCCTCTGTTAAGAGACGGCTTTTCTCTTTTTACATAAATTGCTTCCTTCACCCCCCTCTCAAACCATCTGTGTTCTCGGTCCAAAATGTGCACATTTTGGTCCTCAAAAGAGTGTCCCTTATCTGTGAGGTGGAGGTGAACAGCTGAGTCTTGTCCAGAGGAGGTGGCTCTCCTGTGTTGAGCCATGCGTCTGTGAAGAGGCTGTTTAGTTTCTCCAATGTAGAGGTCTGGACAGTCCTCGCTGCACTGGACCACATACACTACACCACTCTGTTTGTGTATGGGTGT